AATGTGGCCTAAACAATGACGTGCGGGGGCCAGCCTATGTACTAGTCAGTGTTCCTATCCTCCCAGACGAATCTGGTACCAATTTACCGTCCCCGGAGGGTAGAAGGCTTGGTTGGCCTGGGCGGGTGTCGACCTGGGATTCGAACCCAGGACCGCGCGAGTGGTAAGCGCGCCACTTGTCACACCATCTCCGCCTCGCGGATATAACAACGAAAGTACCTGACTTCCACACCGCAGGTGCCGTCACAAAACACCTCAATTCAGCAGATCTGTTAAAAATTTGTCCCCAGGCGAATTGGCTTCCTCCACCTGAATATCACGCTTACGTGGAGCGAAACAGCTTGTGGGTAACACCATCGGGTTTCATAAAACTCCCCTCTAGCGCCGGCGTACGTGGCGCGGGTTATGAACGGAATACAATGTGGTGCTTTTGTTAAAACGGTTCTTCTATTTGACTCAAGATGCTATTTTAGGGTCTGATGGATCAAGTGGTATACGTTCCGGAGGATTCTTGGACAAGGCCAGTCATCTATCATCTCCGAGCGGTTCCAGAGCGTCCGCATAACTTCTTGGTGGTGACATCGCATTCTGCTTACCTCTGCGATGATCGTTACCCGAAGGCAACTGTTCTCACCCTCCCACATACCATTCCATATGGTTCACATGTTATGTTGACGACACCACCAGTGGTAGATCCTCTTGGAACAGGCCATATATTTTCAACGTACTTCCTCGATCACCTAATGACGGATATATCCGTCTTACGGCTATATAGCCATGAATGCGAAGTGTGGTCGTCCGTGATGCCGATACATTGCTTGGGCAACTACTCGGATTATGAAAAAGCTGTGATGCCTTCATATGCGCTTTACCGTGTACATCTACCCCGTGAACCAGTCATGGGAATGGCTGTCGTGCAAGGATATAAAGACCAGCGTGGACGACCAATTGAGTTCCTGCTAAGATCATCAGCTAATGGAAGCGTATGGTTCCAAACTATGCGATATGGTAGAGTGGAGAGCTCTGAAGATAGGGATTTGTGGGCAGCTAGCCGGAAACGTCTGGAGAGGTCGGTTTCATTAATGACAGAGGAAGACGAGTACGTTCAGCGGCTTCCTGATACCCTGCGTCAACCAGCGTCATCGCTAAGCACGGTTATCGATATAGAAATGGATGATGAAAACGTTCCAGGGCCCAGTAAAGGAAAAATCGACCCATTACAGAAGAATGTCTACAAGGAATGCAAAACACTAAGTTTGCTGGAGCCTTCCCATCCAAACGCAGTTCTCCCTTCCATTGTTAATAACGTTTGGAAAGAGTCAATGGAAAAGAGCTGTATTTTTAGGTAATAGAGGGCTTACCAGCTCAATCCCTGCTCCGATTTTGTTATTTTTTGTTGATTTTTGACACAGGAATTGTTCGAATGATTTGTTGTTTGATCTCATGTTTCAATTTTGTTCTGTTTTATTTGATGAATGAAGGTTTTTAACAAGTGGTTCTGTTCAAATTTTTGGCATCAGTGTTCCGCAATTCTCTCATTTTTCTATAGTTAAAATATACAAATATTATTATTTGGCCAGGAAAATTCTGCGGTTTTCGAGGATGTATGGGTTTTGCATCGGACGATGACGAAAGTGTTTACGGTTCCGCGAATTTGGCTCAGACATAGATGTATACTATGGTACGGCCTTTCATGTGTGGAGCGGAGGTTGCGTATATTGTGGGCGCAGTTCGGCTTGGTCGGGGCAGGCCACACAGTGACACCTGAATGGTGAGCGTATGTTAGTCCTGCCGAGGCTAATACTTGACAGGATCTACGGTTCTCCAAGAGTAAAGCAGTACCAACGTTGACAATCTATATGAACTAGGCAAACGATATACAGCTAAATAAAAGCGAAAGACCTCCCCTTCTCTCTCGAACTTATTAAGGTCATCACCCAAGTTTAAGAGATAAAAGGTAGAGATGGCGTTTTCGCGACGCACTGTCAAAGCACGGTTATTTCGTAAGCAAGATCTGATATCGTGAGCCTCAGGACCGTATCTATACACGTTATTAGGTAGCTGAATCGTTCAACCTGTTGACCGTCTAGGTGAGCACGCAGGCACGCCATCTTTGTGATCGTCACAACAGGCGATATCCGCAATGGGGGGGGTCGTAAACGCATGGCCCATGTTGAAGTGGAGAGAGCGGTGATACACGGTACAAGTAAAAAGAAGCTCAAAAGGGACGATGTAGATGACAATAAATAGAACTAGTGCACCGACCTAATCGAAACTATATCCTTAGGCCGCGACTTTAAAAAAATTATTGCTGAAACTTTTTCCTCCTTCCTCACAAAAAAACTTTTAGACACTTCGCCCACCAACCCTCCTCATCTGGTCTAGATAAATCCCAATCCACTAATCCGCAAAATCTAGAAAAGAATCCATTGCAAAAGCTACCTATGAAACCGTAGAAATTGAATCCTGAGCAATTTCCTCACAACAAAAACAAACTCAACAAAACAATATCAAATCAACAAAAACAAACAAAGTAATTCACAATAAAAAGGATAAGAAAAAACTCACCGCTCAGCTGGGAACCGGAACTATGGGTTACTTTTGAATTTTGGCGCTGTTCGCGCGGTCAGCGCGCTCATACAAGCGCATTGGTGCGCGCTATTTTACGGTTTGGAGCCAATTTCAAGCCAAACACGTGAAAAGTACCCCTCATTTGAACACCCATAACTTCGTTGAAAGTGAAGCTATCGGAGAGGGGTAAGTGGGAATGAGTAGAGCTAGGTTGGCTCTTATCACCTGAATTGAGCGATTTCAAAAACGTTCCGGTTCCAGAGATTTTCCCCGTTGTGATCATCTTTGTGATCCGTCTGTGATCATTTTTGCGAACCGCGAGTCGCTACGCATATATAGAGACGTCCATCGCAAGCTGGTACATACACGACCTTTCTTAAAAAAAACACTGAGTATGCCGGAAGTTGAAGATTTTCCGCTTTTCCAGCAAGTGTTTTTACTTCCCTTCGTAGCTCTACTAGTCGAAAAAAAATTCCCCTGTTGCTGAATCATTTTCGGTTAATCACCGGACCCACGACTCACCGAAAAATTCAATCATCGGGCACAGGAACCTCCAGTTGGTTCGAAGACTTTGGTATGCTTCTAGAAACACATGTTTTCGTCAAGCATATCAGGTAATAGGCCATTGGGCGCCAATTGGCATCACATATGCAATGCGCCATGCATGGGGCTTTCACGCAGGTGTTTGAAAGGTGTAACTTCTAGATAGGGCTTCCCAATTGCAAGCAAATGTGCTCCTACGATCAGAAAAGTCCGGGGTACTTTCATCTGCTTTTATTAATCGTCACGTCGTGAGTCCTCTTGTTTGTTTATAAATTCATGGGGCCCTTGTGGGCGGTGATCGTAGCTCCTATCATCGCCCCTTCCTCGTACGTATTGTCAGTATGCTACACCAGCGCCAGAGTGCTGGACGTGCTTGGGACGTACGTAGGTACTGCGACCCCCCCCGCTCGACAGCAAAATTTTGTAAAAAAACCAGAAACTTTTTGGGAAAAAATAGACAAAGTGGTAGGAGGTTGGAAAAATCTAGGGAAGAGGTAACGTGGGGAGGGGGGTCGTACTTGAAGATGGAATTAGGGGGGGGGTCGTATTTTTCAGGAAATGATCACAACGCAATGGCGTGCCCTGGTGGACGCATCATTTCCTGACATGTAAATGTTATGAACTGCGTGCCTGTACGGCACCTACAAGGTTTCGTTTTCGAAGAAGAGAGTTACGCTCCTTTCATATGGAATTCGTTTCAGTGCTCTTCTATGTCTAGCTATACTCGGCGATGACTTTAAACGTGTGGATAAAGAGGCATTATTGAGGACCCTCCAAAAATCACAGAAGAAAGATGGAAGGTACGCTCAACGTAGCCACCCTCTTGGCCTCTCCAAATGAATCAACGTATCATTTTCAGCTTCTGGAGCG